CAACCATTCACACTCACATTCACACCTACAGACAATTTAGAGTCACCAATTAACCTGCATGTCTTTGGACTGTGGGAGGAAGCTGGAGCACCTGGAGGAAACCCACGCTGACACGGGAGAACATGTCAACTCCTTTGAATCCTCCACCCTGGGCGTTTCAATAGTGACACAATATGTAAGCTGACCTTTATCACTGAGAGGTGGAGGAGATGTTGGCCAGTCACCAGAAGTTAATGTTAGCATTATACGATTCTACAAACCACAAATATATTACTTTTACATGTTTCCTATATATCATATTAATGTTTCTATAGTGATGCAATAAATGAGCTGAACTTTATCATTGAGAGGTGGAGAGGAGGGTGGATGGCGTGTCACAGAGGTGAGATGCCTGCCAAGCTGCAGACCACTTCAAAACCAATAACGCCAGTTTTTTTCTGTGACCTGCAGCCTTTCCACCATTTGGTGCGTGTGTGGCACCAATTGTGGTGTTCTAGTGGCACATCATGGCGTTTCCCAAGTAGCGTTTGACACACTGAACCTTAGTGTTTTTCACTGACTGACCCCTGCTTCTCCAGCAGCTTTTGTACCAAAGAAAAAAACATGATCTTTTCCTAACCAGTATTTTTCATGTTAAACCTGACCACACCTTCACCACAGCATTGTTTGGAAAACTTTGTTTCCGCTACAAAAGAATGAACAAATGTAACGTACCTGTGGTTTGCAAAAATGTGCAATATGAACATTTTTCTGCCAATTGGGATGAAAAGGAAAGGAAAGGAAAGGAAAGGAAACGAGGAAACGAAAGGAAGGGAAACAAGAGGAAAAGAAAGGAAACAAGAGGAACCGAAAGGAAAGGAAACAAGAGGAAATGAAAGGAAAGGAAACAAGAGGAAACGAAAGGAAAGGAAAAAAGAGGAAACGAAAGGAAACGAGGAAAGGAAAGGAAAGGAAAGGAAAGGAAAGGACAGGACAGGAAAAGGAACAAGAGGAGAGGAAACAAGAGGAAAGGAAAGGAAAGGAAAGGAAAGGAAAGGGCAGGAAAAGGAACAAGAGGAAAGGAAAGGAAAGGAAAGGAAAGGAAAGGAAACAAAAGGAAAGGAAACACGAGGAAATGAAAGGAAACAAGAGGAAACGAAAGGACAGGAAACAAGAGGAAAGGAAAAGAAAACAAAGGAAAGGACAGGAAAGGAAACAAGAGGAAATGAAAGGAAACAAGAGGAAAGGAAAGAAAAGGAAAGGAAAGGAAACAAGAGGAAAGAAAAGGAAAGGAAACAAAAGGAAAGGAAATGAGGAAAGGAAACAAAGGGACGGGGAACAAAAGGAAAGGAAACAAGAGGAAAGGAAAGTAAAGGAAAGAAAAGGAAAGGAGAGGAGAGGAAAGGAAAGGAAAGGAAAGGAAAGGAGAGGAAAAGAAAGGCAGTTCCATGCTGGTTAAAAAACATTTTTCATAACTTTAGCGACCTAAGAAGTTGCTCTGACTGATGACTGATACAGTAACGATCAGAAAAGCATTTTGGGGAAATATGTATAAACTATTTAGAAAGCCAATAGTTACAGCTTATGAATTCTTTATTAAAAAGTGGTACAAACATTACAATATGTGGAAATGTGAATCCCTATAATGAAAACTATTATTGTGTCAGACTGTAATATAAGTTGTTGTTGTTGTTGTTGTTGTATTGGACTGCATTATATTTAAATGTTTATGCAGTATTGTGTAATGGAGCCCAGTGTAGCAACAGAAATGACCGTTGCATCAACACCTCTTTGATAGTGTTATTGACCTGTATTACAGTGCACAAAAGTTTCCATGTCTTTTTGTCACTTGGTGTGCAGTAAGTTGCATAATGTATCCAAACTAATTCATTCAGTCATTCGTCACAATTATGCAGTGAAAAGAAATAATGTGTCCTGAAAACAAACACTCTCCACTTTATTTGCCTTAGCTGATGTTCAATCCATGTATGAGACATTAGCTGTCCTATCACGGTTGCCTACACAGCACAACAACTCTAAATGCCACATGGCAACTGATCAATGAACATGTTGAGGTATTTTCTCCCAAAGTCAAACAAACAAGCGCAGTGTGTTTTAGAGTGTATTGCAATTGACTGTTTTATTGCATCTCGGGGGCCAAACGTCCCTCTCATTCAAGTGCCTTAGTGATTTAACTGACTCTGATTTACCACTACATTCTGCGCTTAACAGCTTCTCCTCAAACAGCTGACTGTTTGGATTTTCCTTCATGAGCAGCACAAAGCATTGTCTTGCCGTAATACAGTGCAGTAAGTGTTGCCATAAGTCAACTCCCTCCCTGTTTCTAGCTGCCACAAGCAGTTTTCTGCTCTTTGCTCTCAAACACAAATGTCACATTACGTAACATTAATTTGAATGCAAAGGATCTTATTCTGCTGCTGCTTCAAGAGAGGCTGTAAGTAATTTGTGAGGTGAATGGCTTTCTCACTATTTACCATATTGTTTTGTTGTTACAAGAATCTTTGAGACCGGATGAGTGAACACAAACATTACACTCTGAACATGTGGGAGATGTGTCGACTCCCCAGAGGGCCAGAAATAAACAGTTTGCAACTTTATGAACACTAAGATAAACATGATTATTCATTCATCCATTCACATAATTAGGGAATGGTGTGTGTTTGGGATACAGGTCATAGGAAATTGCAGATTAAATAGTCAACTGAACCCATTAAGAAGAGCAATGTATTCAGACAGAGTGTTTGTGAATTTGATAGTACGATTGCTTTATTGAAAGTACAGTAGAACCATTGCCAATAGTGGGATAGTTAGTGGGCTAAAACTGTACATTAGTAGTTGAGGTAGCACGTTGAAAGGCAGATAGTTAAAGTGTTTATATGTTGTATTGACTTCAAAGTGGGGCACACTGGTAGTTCACATGGGAAAGAAGCAGCTAGCCCTTGTTGCAGCAGCATACCATACCATGACTTAGTCATACCAAACATTAGAAAACACCAACATTGGTCCACAGGGGGAGCCACAGCGATCGGTTGCATTTTAGCCATTTTGAAGCATTTTTCTGTTGTTATAGCGCCACCCAGTTGCCAATTAGAGTTAAATTTCTCCAGTCACCTTGAGGCGTCCTGTTCTACATATCTACCAAGTTTAGAAAAAATCCATATGGCGGTTAGGCCTAGATAAGAAATGAGCTCTGTAGCGCCCCCATTTTGTTTGATGGGCTCAATAATGGAGGGGTCCCCTCAGATTATGTGTGGTCATATGCCTACAAAGTTGCGTGGTGATGGGTGAAACCCTTGAGATGTTATACACCTTTATGTGATGAGCCACGCCCTCCGCAATATTCATTGCCTTATAGAAGCTCAGTTTTAGTAAGTTTTCCAACTTTTGCCAAGAGGGAACTTTAGATATTGGTCCCTAGATTATGTTCACCCAGTTTCATGCAGATCGCTCAAACTTCCTAGGAAGAGATCCATTTGAAGTGTTTTTCAAAAAATTCAAAATGGCGGAAAATCTATATAAGTGGAAGTTATGGGTTCTTGAGGCAAATGTGTTCCTCATGAGGAGAGGCATCTCTGTGCAAAGTTTCATGTCTCTACGACATACGGGGCATGAGATATGCCCATTCAAAGTTTGCAAATTCAATCGATTGCTATAGCGCCACCCTTTTGGCCAATTGATGTAATATTGCTTCATTCACATCCTCCCATGACCCTCTACCACTGTGTCAAATTTCACATGGATTGACCAAGTCAGTGAGGAGAAAAACGTGGAACACACACACAGACACAGACATACCCACGGACAGACAGACAGATAGAGTTTTCTTCATTATATAGAAAGATATAGTCCACGATGAGTAGCTCTAAAAAGTTGCGTAGCTGTCCCTCCATTGTGACATTAGGAAGTGTCGCAGTTATCTTACGAGTGCAGTGCACGCTTCTTCAATGTTAAGTTTTCTTCCAGGGAGTGACTCAAAATGACCACAAAGAGATGCAAATGAACTGCAGAGACATGTAATAACTACAAAAACAGACAAAACAACCACAAAAGACACAACGCTACATCAAAAAGACATGAAATTACCTTCAAGAGACCCAAACAACCACAAGGAGACAGAAAAATGACACAAGGATGCATAATAAGTTGAAAAGACATGCAAAACTACTCTAAAGTCTGTGTCTTGCTCCTATGTAGGACAGGTAGTGGGGCCCTTTGCATATCTGTGCCCAGGGGCTCACTGACTCATAGTCCGCCCATGTCTGTAAGACATTTATTTGGCCTTTAATAAGCGTCCACACTGGAGACTTTGACCTGTGGAAAAAGTGTGTATTTTTAAAGCTCTTTTGAAAATCTGACAGCAGCAAACCTGTAACTGATGTGAGTTTTCATACACAACAATGAAAAAACACATAAATGATGTGCATCCTGCAGCAGAGGAGTTCAAGTGATCACTTTAAGTGGCTGGTCTGAAAAATAATAGGAGAAAATAACCCTCATACATTTACTGCTGCTCTGTTTCCGCCCAGCTGTTTATACATTTTTCAGCGTTAAAGAGATAAAGGGCTACGGTGAGGAACTGCAAAATGAAAAATTCAGTTCAAAGTTGATTATGGAAAGCGGTTTTTAAAAGATATGCAAATAAAGTGACAGAGTAAGAGGCTTTGCATTTCCCCACCATGAATAAAAATTGTATTGCTGAATTGGTATTCTGCATAAGACTCAGACGGATAGTAGTGCTCAACTTTGAACTGAGCTCAAAGAAATTACAAGGATGTTGTTGCTTACCTACTTGGCAAACACTTCACTATAACCTTGCCACAACAAATCACTGCCCTGCACCTGCACAGAGCCGGCACCAGTGTCTGATGTTAAATTCATATACAGATGGGAGATTTGAACAAAACAATCTTAAGGATGAACAAGTATTTTTAAAACAATGTTTGCAAGAATGAAACACTTTGGTTGTTTTCTCAAACATGCTCCTCACTCTTCTCTTGCAGGGAGTGCTTACAGGGAATGCATGGATAATGGGACGTGGGCGTTGAAGAGCAATTACTCCAATTGTGAACCCATTTTGGAGGAGAAGGTTAGTGTGGCGTTGCAGGCACAATCCTGCTACGTCCTTCATTCCATAAGCAATCTGTTAAGCATCTTCATGAGATAAATGCTCATTACAGCTTCTCGTTATTACACTAATGGCACACAGGGAATACCGATTAGATACAGCACAAGTAATGTGGTGTTTTGATTGCTTAACGCTTATTGAACTGCATTTTATTTTTCTGCATAGTAGCAGTTAGACTGTTTATACATTTGCCTCCAGACGACTTAACAAACATAAGTATAGTCGTCTTGTCTGTGTCCCTGTAAGTGAAGCCTGAGGCCAAACTCAAAGACTAATGTATTGCATGTAATGGGTTTTGGCCTGATTACATCACATCATGTCTCCTGATTGTGTGTATATCTGGGTCTTGCTCCATTTTCTCAGATAATTTTAAGCAATGACATCTGAAGTGTGTCAATGACATTTGCTTTCTCGCACTTTAGTTACACCTTAAAAACAAAGAATAGATGAATACACACATACACCCTGGGTCTATGCATGTATTTTTGCATTCCTAACCTCTTCTTTGTTTTATTATCCAGCAGTTGCATTCAAGAAGTAATTCACGTGTTGTCTTTACAGAGAAAATATCCAATGCATTATAAAATAGCGCTGATCATCAACTACCTAGGTCACTGTATCTCTGTGGGAGCTCTCGTCGTGGCCTTCATTCTCTTCTTGTGCTTAAGGCAAGTACAGAAATAGTCCCTATCTAAATGTGTCCTGTATGCATGAGACCTCATGGAAAACAATCAAGGAAATTCACGTAATATCCTCAGACTGCTAATCATTAACTCGCTTATGTCAAATGAGTAGATCTCTGCAGCTCGGCCCAGCTGGAGCACTCTGGTTAAGAGAGACATAATGTGTATTTCATAACACTGCTTTCTTCTGAGCAGCCGTACCTTTTTTTCCATGTCCTGGTTTAAACACACACACACATACACACACATACACCTACATCTCCTATGATGGAACAGCGCAGATACTAAACAGCCTCAGTTGCGTTGTGCGCTATGGTTTGATCGATGCAGGCTTCTCAAAACAAATATTGATTTGTTTCAGATTAAAGACCAAAATAGTCAACATCTTCTCCTGACATTAAATCTCTTTAGATTTCATGAACAATCTATAACTACTTAGTGTTTTCCCCCACAGATTTTTTTCTAGGCAGCACAGGAAATGATCTGAAATAGCATTCTGAGCAACATCTGAACCAAAAAATGAAAAAAAGAACTGTGTACAAAGAATGACAGATGAAATTATCCATCTTTAAGCAGCTCTGTAAAAGTTTACTATATAGGATTTTCCTAAAAAACAATGTCATACAGAATCTCTCTCAATCATCTGTTATGACTCACTAGACGTGTGTGAGATACCTGCCTGTATTTTCTTATTTCCTTCTTACATTTTGTGTTCCCCCGCAGTGCCCAGGTGAGGCTGGGACTGTGATAAAAAGATAGCGACCAGGTGTTAGACTGTAAGCAGCAGGCATACAGGAGGCACGATGCTGAAAAAACACAAATATAGTGAGATGAAACGCAAAACAAGAGTGAATCTGGACTTGGCCTTTCCAAACATCAACCTGCAATCCTGCACAGTCTACCTTTAAAGCATAATGCTCCACCATATATGCAGCATGTTCTCACTCTCAACTCATCGAATACAGCAGCTTGGTCAGTGGCCCCACTCTTCAAACTATGACGCTGTAGGTCGCCCTCCAACACATTCTCACTCCAACCTCGTCACATAACAATGTTTGGTCATGGACTTTCCACATCGACTTCTGACAAGCAAGGTACCCTGGGTGCGTTGGTTGTCGACGTTCTAGGACGCTGTGTCAACTTCTGCCTGTCACATGCATTGTCTGTTTTCAAAATACATTTTCGTTTTCACAGGAAATGTACAGTTTACATACAGTCTCTTTCAAAATATATACATTGGTACAACATAAACTGGCATTTTTTCCTTCAACAACAAATGCATGTGGTTACATTTTGCCAACACACGCACGTTGTTGGGTTTAAAGGAGCTATATGTAAGAAATCTAAAGCAAATAGTCGTAAAATCCTCCTAATATGTCACAGAGACTAAGGAATAATGTTCATATAACTGATCTCACCGACAACAATAGTACAGCCAGAATATTCACATTTAAAAAACAAAAAAATTACGGTCCGCAAATCATGTTTATGTTTTGAATTTGTGTTTTGGCCTGTTGCCCCACCCACCGCCGTCTACCAGTCACACAGTCAGTAGAGTCTCAGCATCAGTTACAGTTACGACTGAGCTTCAGCAGCACGGCAAGCAGCATTAGCAGTGTCTCAGTACATAGCATTAGCAGCCGGCTCCTCCTCCGCTGTATCCTGGCAGCAGCGCAAGCAGCAGAGAACAGTCCGATGGAAAACCACAGATCAAGGACGCGGTGACGCGGCCCTGCCATGGCAGCCGCCCGTGGGCAAACAAATCAGTCTCCAGCGTGCCACTGTCCAGCAACCTCGAATCTGTAGGGGAGGGGGGGCGGACACGACTCGCGACAGTATTTCGAATTTGAGTGCAGTAACCATTTTGGCCACATTCTTACATACAGCGCCTTTAAGAAACACAACAGGGTTTAGGAAAAAAGAACAGGGTTTGGCTTTACAATCTAATGGGAAGCAAACACCGGCCTCCCAGGTGAAAGTCTGGGGTTGTCAGACCCATCCAACACCCCTAACACCTGCCTTGCTTGGACTTGTTGTCCAGTCGCATGTCCCCCTGTCGCCACCAGGTGGCGTTAAACAATAACAGTGACAGGCCGTGTATTATGCCAACATGAAAGGATGGCTTTTTGTCAGTGACTGACACTGGAAGTCATTGCACAAGTGCCGGTTTTCGACAACTTCAGAGCGAGACCAGGTCGCCCCCTCTATTGTCGGTTTTGGACATCGCAGTTTACGGGCTCTCTTTTCGCAGACCGGGCGAGGTGGGGGCGCAGCGCACCTGCGCTTCGCCAACTGGGTGTGGCCAGGCGGATTTTGCAAGTTTGGCACACCATACGCGCTGGCGCAGCTACTCGTCTGTCCCACCTCCGTCCCTCCTACCTGCGCAAGTCGGAAAGAGGGAGGAGAGAAGGCGTGGAGTGGGTTTTACACACATCACACCCATCAAATGAGCCCCTCTCCTCGCCCTTAAATGCGCCGCGCGAAGGTGTGATGAGAGTTTACTCAATTCGCCATGGCAGAAGAGAGCAGCAGCGTCAGACGGCCAAACTTCTCCCAGGAGCAAACTGATGTTTTGGTCCGGGAGGTCCAAGCTCGCAGTGTCCGAATATACGGAACTGCGAGCAGAACTCCACGGGCTGATGATGCAAAGGTAGCCTGGGAGGAGGTCACCACAATTGTGAATCAATGTTGCGTTTCTCTTGTGCGTGCGCGCTCTCTCTTTCTCTCTCGCAGTCTTACTCTGTTTCTTTTCTTTTGACTCTTCTAAGATGACAGATGCTGAATATATACTCCCTATCTGATGATGTGGCTGTTTGTGGTTGGCTGAGAGGGATGTGAACTCATTAGTTTTGTTAATCAAATCAGGTTGTGTTTCCATTACGTGTGCCAAACGTGCCAAACGGTGCCAATCCCCTTTGATCTGACATCAGATGTGACGGGACAGTCGATATAGAGATACATTTATGTGCTGATTGCAGATAGTTGCATTGAATAGTGGTTTTTGGGGGTATTTATTGCATTGTTAATGTGCCTGACATTCTGGAAACCTGCCTGTGAGGTTTTGGTGATGTGTGCACACTGTCCGCTGGTCAGCCAAACTTCGGCTTACACCAGCTGCGCTCCCCCTGCGCTGACAGTAGACATGGTTTCAGCTGGCGAGCTTTTAGCACACCATCGGCGAAGCCTTTTGGCAAGAAACTGTCACTGCGCCAAGCTGGATCTGTCGACACCTCCCCCTGCTGCACCGCCACACCCATCTCAGCACACCTCGGTCTGCCAAACTACCAAACTGAGCGCGCCTCGGGTTGCGCTGCTCGAAACTAGCTCTGCGCTGGGTTCGCCACCCTGCGCTGCGCGGGGAAACTAGAGCCCTATGTGTCAATTTCTTCTCGTTACATGCGACAGTGTCCTTTCAAAATAAACTTCTGTTTTCTCAGGAAACATTTTTATCATATGTTTTTTCCTAATTTAGGTTTAGGAAACAAAAGTACTTAGTTAGGTTTAGAAAGAAGACCATTGTTCAGGTTAAAATAACGTTTGATAAGTAACTCAACTCATCTGAGTAACTTAATGAGTATGTCACGTGACGTTACATGGCAAGAAAACGCAACATTGACTTAGGTTTCACACCAGACAGGAACAGCAGTCTCCTGTGTGAAAATCCTGTGTTAGTTTGACCCATTATCCGTCCCTGTGTGAACCTTCCCACTTGTATTCTGCGTCATTATCGCAGATGGGTTTGCACTGGAGTAACTTGAAAGCCCGGTGCGTCTTATACAGACACACATCTACTAATATTCAGAAGTTTGCTCGGAAACCACAGAAACAAGATGCTCTTTATGATTTTAAAACTTGTCTGACTGTTAAGGCAGTTATACGAACCAATCTTGCTGCCTTCTGGCTTCAGGTATGCCAGTTGCAGTCAGACACGCTTGAATTGACCAAAAAAAAGGAAGAAAAAAAAAGAGGAGGGATCCCACGAGAACTGTATAAAAATGAACTTATTTATTCTAGAAGAAATGCAAAAATATTCTCATACAACAGCCCCAATTGACTATATAAAAAATAAACGAAAAAACGGCTTCAAGCCTCTAAGACAACCTATTTAAGGACAAATCAAATGCGGTCAAAAAACTGTGTAGTGCCGCTCTACCTGAGCCAGCCTGAGTCCCAAATTACCTGACAAGATAAAGGTGTGGAAAGGAAACAAGAGGAACATGGGAAAAAAAGGCGTGAAGTCAGGCAGGTCACCATAACCAATTATTCTAATATTAATAATAGTTAATATTAATTAACACAAAGAATAAACTTTTAATGGGGCAAAAAAGATACACTTCTCACAAAACAAAAAGATGAATTTGGCTCCTACACTGACTATCATCAAATTTTTAATATTCTTCAGTATCATAGTAATCCAGTGATAGTTGTGTATACATCCATGGGAACAGTGCAAAGAGGAACGTATAGCCTAATAGGTAATTCAGCATTTCATTATTATCATTAATAGTAGTAGTAGTAGTACACATTAGTAAATTAAAAACAGAATTGATGGGATAATCACACTCTCTTTTTATGCACTACTGGAGTCTTTTTCTGCAGTGACATGACTGGCCAATTACTTTATATAATTACAATATTTCCCTTATTATTCATCAACCAGCAGTCTAACCCCACACTCTAAAAAGAGTCCACTGTTTGAGTTAAAAAAAAAATGAAGGTAATAATTTGCATGCCTCTTTTAAGTAGCACCAACCCTGGCCTTGTTGCGTTAATGCTGAGCCTTTTATAATCTGAAAAACTATATACTACAAACATACAACCAACATGATTTGCTTTGACCTTGATGAACTATTTATTCAAAAGTTGTGTTAATATATATTTAAGATATTCTAACTTATTTATTTTTAATTCCATCCCACTGAAAAAAAGTTTTGATATTGACCAGCTCCTTAAAATAAGATGTCAGCTGACTGAAACACAATAATGAAAGAAACTCCTGTTTTTATGCTGAAAAACTTGATTTTAAATATTATCTCAGTTTACTTTGAATAATCTGTACTGCCTTCATAGAAGCATGATTAAAAAACTGTCATTCTCTTGTGGCACAGGAGCATACGATGTCTTCGAAACATCATACACTGGAACCTGATCACCACCTTCATACTGAGGAATGTTATGTGGTTTTTGCTTCAGTTGATCGACCACAATATCCATGAGAGCAATGAGGTAACACCACCAACTTTACATTTTAACAAGTAAAGCTGTGAACAATTTTATGTCAAGTATATTATGTTGCAATGTACAAGTAACTTTGTGTTTTCTTTCTCAGCCTTGGTGTCGATTAATTACAACAATATACAACTACTTTGTGGTGACAAACTTCTTCTGGATGTTTGTTGAAGGATGTTACCTTCACACAGCCATCGTAATGACTTACTCCACTGATAAGCTCAGGAAGTGGGTGTTCCTTTTCATCGGCTGGTGTGAGTATGTTAATGTTGACGGTGCATTCGTAATACTTCTGCTATCTCTCAGCTCTGAGTGGCAGTAGACGTGTTAACTCCTCGTTAAGCAAGACGATGTGTGCAAACCAGGTTTTCATTTTTCTATTTTTAACTCCTACTTTTTCTCACAGATTTTAACTCAAATGTAAATATTAGAAGCTGAGCGGCCACAATTTGATATATCCTGCAGATACTTTTGTAAGCATCTGCTGAACGTAGGGAAACAGCTGACCCACAGTGTTATATGACATTTCTCCAAAATTCAAAATGAACATTTGCCTGACTGAATGCACTGCAGGTGAAGTCTGGTCAGCGAGTGAAGCGGAGGGAGACCTTTTAGTACTTCAAGATAAGGCTTTAATTTCATAAGAGAACAGAGCTGCAGTGAAGTGTGGAAAATGTCATTTTTTGTGCTTGACTTGCAGTGATAGAATGACTTGTGAGCATGTAGCAGATGCCCCGTCATGACCACATGAATTATCTATGCTTACCTTAACTTAAACTGCAGTATTAGGAGAAGCACGGTGTCACAGTATTCCATCTCGAGGAGGAAAAAATGCTCATGGAAACACGTGTGTACGCTTCCCCGAGCAAGTCTGACATTTTCCCTCTGTCTGTTTATGTAATGGTCATTGTGTGTTCTTGCAGAGGGAAAAAATACACCTAACGGTAACTAGGCCATGCTGAAATGACTCAACTGTGATTTATTAACACAGGATTGAAAAATAATAACCAGTAGATGACATGTGATTGGTAATGACACATGGATGACATGATTGGGGAGCTCATATTGGCTTTAAAATAGAAATAACCAAAGGCAGATATCAATCATGTCAATCTAGTTTTAATGACTTAATGTGATTAAAATGTAGAGTAACTGATGGATTTTCATGTGGTGATTAGATAATCAGTGAAGCTTCCTCTTTGTGTGAATTCTACTCATCAGTACAGTGAAATTCACTAAGCACTCCTGCAGGTGTAGATTAAACTTGGTTTTTGTTTTAATCCAACATATCTGTGCAGCGACATACGCTGTAGGATGTGTTTTCAGTGAACACAATACCTTTTATTTTCTGTAATTAATACCCATCATCAGTTATATCTCATCGATCAAAGGATAAAGGAAAACTTAAACTATTTAAAATGTATTACATGAATAGAAACAGGGCTGTAACCACCTATTTAATTTTTTCAACCTACCTATGATCCAATTCTTCAAGGTGGTTAAAGGGAATTCCCCTGGGACAATTTTTTAGAAACTTAACAGCTAAACTGACCATTTTAAAGCATATTGAAACAAAATTATTAAATCAGGATTCTTTGGATGACCAAGTATCATTCTATAGAGTCAGATTATGATTTTTTTTAACTTTTTTTATTGACTTTTAATCATATACTGTAACATTTAATGAATCTTTATAACATTTTTATGGCATACGATAATATTAAAAAGTGACACATAAGGCCAAAACACACCGGCACCGTACGACGCGCATCAAAACAGACGCCCCCATTATTCTCTATTTACAAACCCACACCAGCGGCATGTCGTCGGCGTCAGTACCACCCCTTGTCCACTACCCCTAGCCCTCGAAATGAAGCATCGAGGGGTAGGGGTTGAAATCTTTCCCTAGGAATTGGAACACCACTCACTTTGTCACCACGTTGGTTACGTTCACGCATACGTAACTATTTTAAACAGGAAGCTGCGACCCATCTACATTTCAATGGAGTCTCATTCATCCTACCGATTGCGTTTGCTGCATTTATCATTCTTCATCTGATGAACGACAGACGACAGGGGACTTCTGCTAGCTAGCTAACCAGCTAACATTACGAGGCAGCATAGTTATACTAGCTGGCGTGTTATCGTAATGTGAAAAATCCGACAATTTTGCAGAACAGGACAGATGACAGACACCAGATAGTGCGAGCTAGCTAGCTAGCTAACAAGCAACATGACAAAGATAACGTTAGCTATGTATGAATTTTGTTCCCCGTCTCTTGCTCGGTGGTAGCCATGGCGATGCCTAACCCTCGCTGGCAAGTCAGCATCTGAAATCCCTCGCTCCGAAGGGCTAGTTTCATGCCCACTACCCCTCGTTATGCCCCCTACCCCTACACGCAAAAAGGAATTGGGACACTACCCCTCGTGGGAACGCACAAATGTAGGGGTAGGGCCAAGGGGTAGGGCTAAGGGGGGTATTGGGACGGGCCCTAAGTCTGAAGAACTTACACTGATACTCTCTGGTACCTAGAAATAGCTACTGATGGCTAATGGGAAAACAAAAGCACTGTTGTCTTCCTATTTTGGCTGCATAATTTAGGGTGACCATATTTTGATTTCCAAAAAAGAGGACACTCGGCTGGCCACGACATAGCCTACTTAAATGATACTCGCAGTTTACTCAAAGATGCCTTATAATTTTAATATATTTCAAATTTATATGTATGGATAGAAAATTCAGTTATATTACAAAATCATATCTCTCAAAGACAGAAATTCAGATAGGCCCCAATAGGGGACACATACACGCACTAGAGTGTGGCGATCCGAGCCCGACGGTACCCGACGGGTCGAGCCGGGTTTGGTCAAAAATGTAGCTATAAATTGTATTCGGGCTCGGGTCGGATTCAGTCAGCTTTCAGTGAAAATGTAGTGTAAAAAATGAATAAAATCCTATTGTCTGTCCTGTTTATTGCTTGGGCACTGTTATTTACGTGACAACACCTGAACATAACACACACACACACACACACACACATTGGCTGTTTGTTTCTACCTCTCTCCTCGCTGGAAGTCTCGGACCTCCAGCCGCCCGCCTCCGCCTTGATTAAACGCTGAAAATAAAATAAAATAAAAGAGGGAGACAGGTTTTTCCTATTTTATCTTATTTTGTTTTATTTCTCCCTCTCCTCTCGCTGGAAGCGTCGGACCTCCCGCCTCCCGCTCCCGTCTCAAACATGGAGGTCTCCCTCTCCGCTGAGCATGCCCAGCCTGTTCAATAGCCTGTAACCACTGTGTGACACAAACTCAGTGCTTTGGTCATTAAATAATGTCGGGCTCGGTTCGGGTTCGGACAGAAATATGCGGCCCATGCCGCACTCTAACACACACACACACACACACACACGGAAAACCGGACATTATCATCAGTTTATAAAACCCCCCCGGACGCCCCGGACGGGACGTGAAAAGTGGACATGTCCGGGCAAAAGAGGACGTTTGGTCAGCCTAGCATAATTGTTGACGTACTTCTTTTGTGCCATAAATCGAGCCTTCATTTTCCTGTGAGATTGCACCTGGTGGCAGACAAAATTGCATAGTGAAAGCAGGCTTATAGAGAACCAATCTGAACGCCTATGGTGTCTTTATTCTATAGCAATCACATTGTGCAATCAACATTTACATTATAATGACAGGTTAAAGCAAATAACTTGTTTATTTCCACTGGCCCAGCCCTAATTTCCACCTTAACTGCTAATTTTAATCTGCTTCTAGTATCACAATAATAACAGAAAAACTAAAAACTAAACTGTAATACTAGAACTAGTAGTAATACATTTAATAATAGTAATAATAGCAATACGCTTAGGTTTATTCAGTATTATGAATACATTTGCTGTTGATTATTTCGGACAGTGAATGGTTGCCTGTCTAAACATAGCATTATTCACTCCTATTTTTTTATCAACATATTTGGGAGGCATTTTGAGCCTATTTGAACACTGGGCTTGGAGGGGTGGAGATGTGTAACCCACAGGATATATTATCATTGCAGCCTGGAATAGAAGAAATTAAGTAGTAGTGTTATGCCCTGTTCACACCAAAGATTTGCAACGAGACAAGTGGAAACTTTCAAACACTTGCAATGTGCCATTCTGCAACGTTTAAAAAAACTGCCGGTTCACATCGATGCAACTAGATGAGACAGTGTATCATCTCTATGCAACAACTCTCTGTACTTGTGTTCTGATTTCCAGCTTTACAGGTTTATTTTGTGTCTGAATATAATTTGTCATTTCTTGAAATATGAATGAGGATAGTGACAGTGAGATACTGGCAACAGCTGCATTTGCAGTAGTGATGAAACAGCGAAAAACAAACAAAACCAGCATCAGATGGACTGTATTCATAATAAATAAGCCACATGGTATAAATAACCAGCGCCAATTAATCAGTCAGTGAGAATGTGTGTGGGGGGGGGCATAAACACACGCAGCGAGCAGTAGCACTGTCTGACACTGGTACACTGTGAGGACAGACACAGAGGGCTCGACAGGGAAGGTTGGCTGTAGAAATAGGTGACATGCTTTATGTTCTAAAACCAGCCGCTAGCTGGACCAGCTGAGTTGCAGGTGAAACCTTCAGCCAGCTTGAGTCGAGTTCAGACTGCTGCAACAGTTCTCTGCATTATTCTAAAACAGGTTCATCTTGTCACGAATCTTTGGTCTGAACTGGGCTTTAGTGTATGGACTATACATGATATAAATAGAGGTATTAAGTATAATCTGTACAAATGATTTAGTTCTTTCAGTCTTAAACCTGCTGCCTTGTGGAAACCATGAGCCAGTCAAGAGATTGGATTTCTCATTTTGTCACTGATATATGTCTTGAGGTTGAGATAAGTCATTAGGAAATGGTGAAAGTGGGGCAGATTAAATCTGTCTTCCACCAGAGACCTGCTGATCTTAGCTGGAATCGAAATAGGTTCAGGCCTGAACTCTTTCAGCTCTATCAAAGTTCATTTCACTCACCATTTCACCTTTATGAAGATCTGATCCACTTTGGCCACAAAACTCGACCAGCTCTGTCACCGTCTGATTTGTGCGCTCACTAATGATATTTAGCTCAAAGCTCAATTAGCCTGTCGGCTCACTGGCAGGGTGAAAAAGTCAAGAATGAACTGCTTGTTTAAAAAGCAGCAGACTTTCCTCGAACTGCAGTCCTGAGTGCTTTGGGGTAGCAGTGAGACATC